TTTACTATTCAAATTTTAAATATAGTTTGACAAAATTGAAGGCGACAAAGTAATTATAAATTGCAGTTATAAATAGTTTTTTTTAGATTCTGTTTCTTGTATAAATTGATTATTAATAGTAATGTATTCGTAAGTATATTTGATATTAAAATGTAGATTTAGAAAGTTTAATGTATACATTGAGGGTAAAGAATGATGGATCTTCATTTGGCTTTGAAACTAGTCGGATAAGAAGAAAGTTTGGTGCTTCCCCGTAGTGCGGAAATAAAAGAAATGCCTGTGAGCATAACAATTACGTGGGATTAAAGCGGAAACGCAATAAAAATGTATTTTTCCGTTGTTATTGTTGTGTACGTTGTGCTGCGGCAGCGAGCGTTGTTTGATGTGTGTACGTTTGATGCCATAAAAGTAAAAACAATACAAGAAAATCCACTAAAGAATAAAACGCTGGCGAGCAGAAGTTGCCGCACTCAAAGACATGTTTCACTGGCGATGGATGGATGTGTCTGCATTAGCAGACCCCTAATAAAAAGCCACGGAGCCCGGAGCGTTCGCCACTAAAATCGGAGTAAAGTCTCCAGGACGATCTGAGTCATAATAAAATATCGGCTTCTGTGTTCTGATCTTAACGACCAGAATATAAGCGTCATTAAGTGACCGTAAGGGGGCGGCGGTGGCTGCCGACACCCCAACGTTTAACCCCCCCTAAGCAAGCTCTTGCAACAGACATGATGTATTTCTATTGCTTCATCTTCGCCAGTAAGTGCTCAATGGGCCGTTCTTCTAAATACCCCCCGCAATTCTCTTATTTGCTACACTTTCTCTCAAAAATTGCCGCGATTTCCCCATTATTTATCTCTTTCCTTCCTTTGGAAGCACCCTCACTTCACGCATGATTTAGGACAAAGCCACTAAAGAGAAAAATATTAAATAATGACTGCAGTGTCTTACCGGATCTCAGTTTTGTTCAGAGCGAAGAATTGATGGGAGAGCGTCGGCGTTCCTGATGGAAGGAAGGAAGAAAGAAAGGAAGCAAGTCACAGAAATCAATAATCAATTTCTCTTTCGTTCGCAATTATCTCAAGTTCAAACAAAAACTTAGGAACGGTGGCTGCACGCGTTGTACTCACGCACATGAGTGACATTGCACATTCCGCGGTTTAATCACTGCCGAGGGTTGCAAAAACAAGATCACCCTCCACCCCGTTTCACGGCCGCCCTTTCATCTCCCTAACATCCCGCATCTCATTCATTGATTCGTGTCTTTCATATATTTTTTTGTGAGCTGTATTATTCTTTTTCTTCGCCTCGTCAAATCCCGTTTTGATTGAAAATGGATTGATGGTGAATTAAATATTGTATTGGTAATGGTGATTGGTGTTTTAGGTATGATTGATAGGTGTATATTTCATCGCGGTACGCACACTAAATCCTCGGCTAATCCCTAATACGACGTTGGGCAAACTAAAGACATTTGCAGAAGGGGCTCCGACACTGACACTAAGAGTGATTGATAGGAGTTCGCTGATAGTGCCGCATCGCAAAAAGGAAAGAAAAGAATTACTGTAATGATAGAATTAAAGGTTTTAACGTGTGATGAATAACAAAACTTTTGCTCTTTCTTTCGATCAAAAAAAAAGTCTTCAGAATTTACTTCGATTTTTGTCCTTGTCTATACTTTTCTTACAAAAAGTTATTAAATAATATAAATTGCATTGAAATAAAACGTTATAATAAAAATATTAAAGTACAAATTATGCATTCCCATTTGTACAAATAATTAGATATTATAACTAACACTTTCTAAATAAAAAATGTTTTTCAAAATACTCTTAACAAAATAACGTACTGAAAAAAACTCAATAAAAATAATTAAAATATATTCCTTTGCAAGAATATATTAAATCAATTGCTTAAAGAACATTTAGTTTAATTACTTTTTGCTGCCACCCTCTTGATAAATTGCTTTTAAACCATGTCCTCCATAAATCTTAAAATGCAATTTTCTGTAGTGGATACAAGAAATATATTTTTTTACATGTACTTTAAATTTAAAGAAGATACCTAAATAGTTAATCTATTTTTATGTTCGTATTGTTTTGATAAATATTATTATTTATTAGTAAAATACTTATATTTGCTTGAATAACTAAGATTTATCGAATACTTTAATTGGAATATGGCATCAACAACATTTGTGCATTTTTTTCCCAAGAGATATGTCACGTTAAGACTCCTTTGTGCAAGGGCATTTTGTACTGTTGTACGCCCTACAGATTTCTTATATAAAGTAATCCCTTGGCTATAGCTGTATAATAATCTCAAAGGTCTCCAAGGTGTTAACATAAAGCTTTACGATCTGTAATAAACAATAATTTCACAAACATATAAATTAAGATATACAAATTTTTGAATAATAATAATAATAACGAAAATTATTACATACATATTCATAGTATCAATAATTTTCATTGTCATTTCTGTGTCAGAGCTAATGTCACTAGAGAAATGTTCTTACAGGGACTAGATTTTCTAGCTAATATCTGATCTCAGTAATCCTTTTGATGTCAACCGTGTTTTTCTTTACGCGTTTCCGTTTTTTCTTTCCACTGTCGGTTTTGGTCCTTCCCCTCCACGGTTCTTCGGCTCGGAAAAACAGATTTGTCAAAATGTCAAGTTGTTGTTGTGCGTGCGAGAAAGATAGAAAAGAAGAGTGAGACACAGAGACTACGAAGGGAAAAACAAACGACTGGTTTTACGTCTCGCGCGGCCACCACGATCTGAACCGTCGAGAGTTTCTTGTGATTTTTGTTTTGTATTCAATTAGCGTGATTTATACGGTTTCCTCTAATGGCTGTTCCACATTGATGTTACCACTCTGCCGCAGCCAGCAGCTCCATGCGTCCTCTACTAAAATTACGAAGTGGACTTTTAGTGATTCACATTTTTGTTATTTATGCGACACGTCCGCAACGATGCGTATTGTAATCATTTTAATTCCATCCCTCGGACTGCCTCAAAACACCGCCGAAATTATTATTTTTCTGCTTTCTAGCATTCATGCTGTTCCTTTCATTCGCTCAACCGCCCCCTCGTCATCGCTGACTTTTTTTTGTTGTTGCTTTCATTCCGATTCCGCTGGTGGAATGACCGATGATCCAAGTTCAACTTATTAATATTTATTTGATTGAATGTTCGTTTCCATGGAGTTTTTTCTCTGTTGCTTTTATTATTTCCTTGCTTTGTTTGCATTCCATGTCTCTTTGTTTACAAATCTGAACATTTTTCAATAATCAATAAAGGAAAACAATACAATATACTTAAATAAATATTTAGTGCATATCATAATATATACTTTTCGCATTGTTTCATGAAACATAACGAAGCAAAGCTTATTTGAACGTTTAAACAATCCTTATTGGGACACGAAAAGAGCGCGTTTCGAACAGTAAATAAGAGAGTCATAAAAATTTAGTTTCAGCTGCGAATCACATCATCATATGCTAAACGAGGGATCGGCAACACGCGCCATTTTTCGTTCTTAACAATTCTATTGGTTCTATCGTTCGGATCGGCCTGCAAAAACTATTGATGGCCACACACACTTTTGCACGAAAAGTAAGGCGTTTCGTTTTATATCTATTGATAGGAATCTAATTTAATTTAGACGTAATGAATTTATAATAAAGCAATAAAAACAGTAGGTGATTATTTTAAAAAATGTCTTATTTCTAACTTCTTTTTTCTATTTTTATACTAAATATTTATTACAAAAGTTTAAATTTCAGGCTACAAATGGGTGCGTTTCAAAATTAGAATAATAAATTTATTTGTTAGTTTATTATTAATAATTATTCATTCTTACATATAGTTTTTGCTTAAATTATTAAGTCTCTTATATTTCATTTAATTTGTATATGCATATAATAATAAATAATTCAATATTGATATTATAGGGGTACTAATGCTAGGATCACTGAATTTCTATTGTGAGTGGAATCGCTTTATTGAACGATTATTGCTAGGGACCCAAATCCCAATAGGGTTGTATTAACTTGTTGAATAGGGGTTAGGCTATAATAATAAGCAAAAAAAATCATTACAAAGGATTTAAACTAAAGTTTTATGTTTATTGCATGTCATTTTTAAGTTTCATTTATAATTATGTCATATATCCTAACTGACATTTTAATCTAATTGTCAATGCTTAATAAATCAGTTATAAATAATTTAAACGGCTGCTCCATTTGAATAGGAATAATTTATTGAAATAATTAACATATTTATTGTAGAATCAATAAATACAAATTTTACTAGATTGTCTAATGCATGAGACTATTAAATTTCGGGAGTCAAATGAGAAAAAAAGCTGTATATTCTATCAATATAATTGATAAGATACATACATAGTAATAGACACCATTTGAATGAAATTTATATACTGGTACCTTTCTCTATCATTTAGAAGTTTTTTGTATTATATAAAATTTGAATATTGGTCCAAATTGGGAAAATGTTATTTTTTTAAATAAATAAAAAGTTTATAAACATTTCTTGTGTCTTAGTATGAAATAAATATAATACTTGATTTTAAATTTAAATGGGATATTTGAATATTGGTCCAAATTGGGCCAATATTTTTTTTTAAATAAATAAAAAGTTTATAAACATTTCCTGTGTCTTGAAATAAATATTGTTCTTGATTTTAAATTTAAATGGGAAATAAATCATGCCGTTGTGGAAGCGATGGTCGTAAAAACCGGGTAATAATAATTTTGGAACGGGCAATCCAAAGTAATGAAGTCAATTTTGTATCTTACATTGTTATTTAAAATTCATACGAAAAGCAATTTATAAATTCACCGTAAGCTGGCCCCGACAAAGAAATTGGTTTAATAAAGAATGCATTCGAGGCAGGCAGAACATGCGAGGAGGCGCAAACGCATGTAAGAAAGTAGGGAGCAAAGGTAAATTAAAATTGGTGTTATTATGAATTCCAGATTGATTTGGAGATGATAAAGAGCAATGATTACAAGCCACCAGCTGAGAGGAACATGAATGGTCATTACAATCACAACCTATCGCATCAGAAGATGCACCATCAGCAGAATCTGCAACATCTTCACCAACAGCAGCAGCAGCAACAACAACAACAACAAGGAAAGGGTCCTGGGGAGTGGGAGCAGTCGGGCTCAGTGAATGGACGGGCGTCGAAATCTCGAAGCTCAGTGCTTGGCACAGTACCTACCCTAACACATACGGCGATAGACGCGAGACGCTCGGCCTCAGAGCGCCGCAACGCCACGCGACAACCGCAACAAGCTGTGAACGAAGTAAACAAACATAAACCGTCAGCCGCAGCATCCGCCACCACCGCTTCCTCTTCCGCAGCCGCCTCCACCTCCATCGGTATGGAGGCCAAGAGCAAAGTCGCTTGCTACTCGGGTCGTTCTGCTTACGATGAGAAATCCTACATTCCGCGAAGTTTGAATAGGAATAGACATGCTCCCGCCAACAATAAACTCCTAGTGAATGACAAGGTGGCTTATCAGAGTGCGGCCAGTTGCTTTATCGGGCACGATTCAGGTGTTTTTGGTGTCTACTCTGAAACTAAGTACACTTTCTCTGTGAACGGCTTACCCGGAAACCAAGCCCAGGCTTCAGCTGCTGCAGCATTTTTTGCAAGGTAAGCGCACCCACTATTTATTTATTTTATATATATTTATATATTTCAAACTGATATCTAACGTTTAGTATAACTATTCAAAGTAATCTTTGCAACGTTGAAGCTGTACTTAATTTAATGCATCACAATATGTATCAAACTTTTCTTTGTTTATTTGTTAAAAAAATTTGCTAAATTTGAAAATAAAATAAAAATTTTGTTTATTATTAATATTTCACAATTGCATAAATAATTACAGACAAAAAATGAGAAATAAAAATAACATGTAATCATATTAACAACATAATTGGTAATGTTTGGTTATTCTTCCTAATAATTATTAATACATAAATTGTATATAATAAATAATTAGATACAAAGAGATATTGACTTAATTGTTTAATTATTATTACTATATTTGTAGTTTTAATTAATTTAACCAAACATATAATTAAATTAAATTACAATAATAATTGTCATAATTAATTGCTAGAATACAATGAAAAATAAAGTAAAAACAAACAAAACAAAATAATACAAATTGAAAACTATAAAATCTAAAATGAAAATGGAATAAATGATATTATAAAATATTTAAATTATTCAATAATAGTAATTTTTATACACTGATAAATTCTTATCATTCAATGGTAGAATAAGATAAAACTTAATACTTTAACAGAAAACTACATTTATTCTAAAATAAATGAAATTTTTATAATTTAATAATTTGAGTTGATACTTTTGCTTTACACTTTTGCAATCAAAATCGGCTAAAGTAGAATGTATGAAACAAGAAAAGTTAATATATTTCAATCATTTTTTTTTTTTGAGATAAATAGAATTTTTAATAGAAATAAGTGGTTAACACTTGGAGAAACTATTATCAGCTGTTCTTAGCGTCGGATTCCGAAGAGGATTTTTTTTGTCAGTAAAGCAATCATCATAAACTTCGAACATGAGTTCGTTAAGCAGTGCTGGGCTGAGGTCAATAAAGTCAATGAAAATCGTTGAAAAAAAAATGTAAGAAATCCAATTATTTTTTTTCAATAGAATGAGTGACAGCGAATATGATTACTTTCATTTAATAATCTTCTGATTTAAGTTATCACAATTTGATACATGAAAGAGTATTACATTTTGATCACCATTAATCAATTTTGGTATTAAACATATTAAAATGAAACTTTGATCTAGAGATCACGAAATGAATATGTTATTTAAATTTGGAGAGCTTTTATACTGTAAATGATTTGAATACGTAGAAAAACTATAAATCAGTGTTAGTAAAATCTTTCTTTTTATTAGTATCTTCAAAATCTGTTAGAAATGGAAAGCTTTCATGTTTTATGTTCATAAAATATGATCAACTTAAAAAGTGAAGACACTGAAAAATAAAAACCAATAAGTTGAAGATTTTGACTACAAAAGCTTTTTGGATAAGTACGAAATTTACTGCGTGGATATTATGTTCAGAAAGCTGTATGATTTGTGATGGAGCATTTTCGTGCAACACCACGTGTTGTATAACGACATGCAAATAATTCATTGGCTTGCTGCATTCATTTAATGCGCTATAAGTATTTTTTAATTGCTTGTCCGTGTGGGCGCCGAACACGGCCCATTTGCAATTCAATCACCAATCAGCTCACACTTTTGCAACACCATCATTTATATCAATTAATTGCTAATCAATTCTGTAATACGACAACAAATATCATACAAAATCCTATGTAAATATCTTGATTGGAATTTCTCATTAAAGCCTCGACTACAATAAGACTATACAATTTCATGATCGATTTATACAATGAACCAAAAATATATTCTGTTTCAAAAAAATTCCAGATTCCAGAATTTTATTACTGAAATTATTTTTTTTATTAGTCATAAACAATTTATTAAAAAGATTTACTTGAATTAGAAATATAAATCTGAGACAAATTAAATGTATAATTCAGTTGCATGCAAAGCACGGTCTCCGGCTGTCTCACAATTACGTAATTACACGTAACTTGGTGAGCGTAGTCTAGTGTTTGCACATTTTGTAAACACACCCAATACAATTCACTGCATTGTGTCAATGTTGGGACTAACAATTTCCCTAGCTTTCATCGTGCATCCTAATAGCGCAAACATTCGCACTTTTATCTTTGGCTCATTTGCCTTTAATTTAAAATAAGTAGAAAGAAGGAGGAGCACCGACAAATAAAAACAAACAAAGCCGGAACATCGTTATATCGAGACAACAGCGGGGAAAACTCGTTTGATTAATTAAGAATAAGTAGTTTTTTGAAAAACTGTTGTTTACGTAAAAAAGTATAATTAAAATGTTTAAAAAAGCTTAAGTTTTTTAGCTATTATTCATACATACTAAAATAAGAATTTTCTTCAAGTTTCATATTATTTACTCCTACTTGTATATTTCATTAACTTTAACATGTATGAATAACTACACATATGTGATTTTGAATTTAATCGAAATGAAAATGTGTATTTAAATTTTTGTATTTTGAATTAGAAAGTTTTTGTACAAAATTTTAATTAAGCAAAATAAATTACAAAAAAATAGTACACAAAATTATTTTTTTATACATAAATGATCGTTGTTTCACTCTTTTTTGTGATTTTTATATGTATTTAATTTCTCGATTAGTCCGGTTTTAAATAGACCGGTACATTGCATGATATTGCTGGAAATTTACATTATATTAATGTAAAATCAATTGGTTTAACTGTACCCTTTACTGTTTATTACTGCTTTATACGTTAATTATGTAGATTGTAACTGATTTGAATGAATTAATTAGTTTTCTATAAGCAAATTTCTCACAAATGTTTGTATACAAAAGTATGAACGTATTTTAGTTGTGATTAAGATTGATACTGTTGATGTGATCCAAACTTCGGTTTAGTTACAATCTAAATGATAATAAGAGGATTATATGAATACGCTTTGTATGTTTATTAGATTTCCTTCCCATTCTATATTTGTTTACACGCATTCAATGTCTTCTAGGCTTCGTTTAACTAGACTTAAATGAACAGATTTATATACATGTATTCAAGCTAATGTGACACCAAATAGCGCCATTCTTATTATAATGTTTTATTAACATATGATTTCGTGTTGGTCTCGGCCCTCCCCCATTCACTATTTTTGATAAATCAACGTTTATTAAATAGACTTTTATGTTAATTGCCATTTCCTTTGTGCCGTATCTTCAGCGGACAAAGAAGCATAAACCTAGGATCTTAATCTCTATTCACCTCACACGATTCTGGTGTTTCGTCGAAACATTGTTTTACAATAAATACTATTAGTTATGAAATTCAATTCCATTCTAAGAATATGAGCATTATTTTATGCTATTAGTATGGATGTGAGCTATTCAATTCAAGGTGTGGTATCAAACGTTTAATTAGATGGATTATATATATATAGAAATAATATACATTATATAATTCATTCATTAAAATATAACAATAAAAATCATTGTTTGAATCATTAAATAAGTTAGGATAATAACAAATTATTGGTAATGATATTGATTTTGAGAAATATGTGAAAAGTTGGTTTAAAATGGAAAAAAAATATAATCCTATGGATCCAACTTCCACAATATTACATTTAGCAAAGCTTTAATGTAATTGAATAATTTACTGTTTCTATAGTTTATTTTTTCTTTTAAGTAAGTTTATCTAAAATATTATAATTATAATTTTATTTGTTATTGTTTCTAGATTATTAATTTATTAGAAATAAAGTGAAAAACTTTTTTTTTTTCAAATTTGCTCCCAAACGTCCAAAACTGGAAAGATCTTTGGTTAATTTTTGGTAGTTTAGTAGTTTTACGTCAAGGATTTGGTTCTGGAGATGAATGAAAACATAATTTATTTTACAGAAATGGACTTTCCAGGGTAGTCTATTTCGTGTACTGTAACAGAATTGGGATCAACTTTGGATAGGTTTCAATCAGATTGACAGAGAGTTGCTGTTCTTAAATGTATAAGAGATTGAATTTAATATATTAAAATAAATCAATTTGTTAATAAATCAATTTGTGTGTATAAAAATTATTAGTTTGAAACAATCTTCTAATTATTTTCAATCAAAATTTCGATAGATATTAAATGTTGCAAGAGTTACAAAGGTCTTTGGAACTTTGACTTGTGTTTCTTTATATATAAACGTGGCATCGATTGAAGCAAATCAGTTAAAAGTTTCTGACCAAAAATGAAAAATAGCAACAAGTTTTTAGAGAATTTCCAGGGAAAGTGCATTTTCATAACGGGTTGCTTAGGAATTGCACTTCTGGAAAAACTTCTAAGATCATTTCCTCATACATATTTTTGTAAATATTTCATAATAATTTTAATAACCTGCTTTTGGTGTACTTTGTCAAGTGTGTGTTTTTATGAAATAATTATTTAACAAATATGTATCTTGTTGTTCAATTTTTTGATATATAAAAAAGTTGTTGTTGAAAGCTCCTGTACTCATGTCAACTATTGGTTGTCATGGATGCGTTGACACTGAAATGGATCTGACAGCTGCAATCATTTATGTCTTATGTCATGCATAGTGTGGATGCAGCATTAGATTAGATTGGATTGGAACATGTCAATTTTATGACAATCTTGACATTTTGTTTTTAATTCTTTCTAAATAACTGATAAATTTGTATTTCGCAATTAAAGTTTATCATTTTATAATATTTTAAGTGCTTCTTAATGTATTTGTTATAATGATGTAATTCAAATGCGTTTCACGATTGAAACTGATCAATAGATTTCATTAATTATAGTGGCCATGAATGATTTAATACCGCTTTGATGCGATCCGATGTTTCAATCCTCTTGTCACTGTTATCCTCAGCGGACTTTAGCGCACATAATATGAATATTATCCCATGTTAATAATAGTATTCTGCCATTACGATTTACAGCCGGAGATTTTACGTGTACGGAATTACCGGAGCAGCGCCATCTATTAACAGGCATATATAATGCGGTCGCGTCGTT